CGAGGGGGTGATGAAGACCGGTACTTCCCTCCCTGCCCAGCACTTGGCTGCCCAGCAAACCTACAACCACCTAGACATGAGTGTGGCAGAAGCACTGAGGCAGAGGACATTGTGTATGGAGGGAGTCCTTTCTTGCCAGCCTGAAGAGAGCCTGGAGGAAGTCATCAACCGGATTGTCCGGGAGCAGGTACGCCACGCCCCTCATACATGCTCCCAACACATATGGTCCAATCCTTCTCATGAGCAGCTCCAATTCTCCCTACGCATCAGGCATCTGCCCTATCCTCCCAGTTCATGGAAAAGCTCTTGGTGTCCACACTGGTCTCCTGTCTGTGTGGCTCTTGTGCCATGGGCGACAGCCAGCTAATCCCCCCAGAGAGGTCAGAACCACCCCTAACTCTAGGAGACACTCTCTTGCTCCCTCAGTTATGTCAAGTTGTTGCCCCTGATTCTTGGTGCCAACCTTGTTGTCTGCCATAGCCACATGGCTCTGCCCCCTTACCGAACCTCTGTGGACCTACAGGTACACCGTTTGGTGCTAGTGGATGAGACCCAGCATCTCCTGGGCGTGGTGTCCCTCTCCGACATCCTTCAGGCACTGGTGCTCAGCCCTGCTGGCCTGGATACCCTCAATGCCTGAGAATATCTGGATCCTCACTCCCAGGCCACCTTCTACACCCAAAGCCAATGAGGGAAGCCAGTGGACTTGGCCTTCATCTTTCCCCACTCCCATTAGCTGGTTCGGCTCTGGTTCAGGTAGGCTCTGCCCTGGGCCATTGGCCTCAGCACCAGCCCCTAGGTCTTACTGGGCTCCCAGATCTCAGATTGGGGCACCCTGAGGATGGGAGTGGCCCAGCTCATAGTTGAAGAGCTCCATGAAAACTACAAGTATCAGGACACACCGTGGGGCCACCATTTTGTTCCATTCTCAGTCGAGGTTGTGCAGACCCTCAAAAGAGGGGTGCACAGGGGCCAGGATAAAGGCAAGGCAGTGCGATGGGACTTCAGGTGCTCTAGGGAGATTGACCTGCCTTCTCACAATTCATGTTGCACCTACTTGGAATTCTACTACTGGAAGGAAGTAAGTTAATAAACCTTTGTTGAATGGAATTTCCCCGCTCAGTAAGAACTAAGACTAAAACGAGTGAGCTTCTATCTAAGTACTCATCTCAGTGTACCTGACATGATCTCAGACGTTTTCCTGGTAGTGTGTTTGGTAGCGGGGTACAGAAGGGTGGGGGCATAGGTTCCATCTACTTGGCAGTGGATGACAAGACTGAGGTCCCCCTATCGGAAAGGCAATCTTCCCTCCCCATTTAGTCACCGTCTTCCCTTCTCTTTTCCTCACAGGCTTCTCCAGCCCTACCTAACTGCCCTTGCCCTGTGTATGCTCCCAGAAACCCTCGGGAATGCCCTGTGCACTATGGGAGGATGAAATTAAGGAGAACAGCTGAGTCAAGCCTAGAGGTCCCTGAACCAGAGGCACTGGGATTACCCCAGGGCCAACTGCTCCATGTCCACCCACATCACTTTCCCCTACCTGGGCAGGGACTGGCCCCAGTGGTGCAGCGAGCCCTCAGCCCATGGGTTTAGTCAGGGGCTCTGGATTCCGTGGCTTCTGGACTACCTGCCACTGGTGTCCCAGCTCTTGGGAGTCTCAGCTCTTCTTCCCCCAGGGGAACTAACCGCCTTAGTGGTTCTCACGACTTGGCCACTGCCCTCCTACGCTCTCTGCAGTGTCATTTCAGGGCTGCGGGGGGCACCATGGAGCAGTAGTTATTTGTAGGGCTGCCTGTGGGAGTGGGGTTCCTCCCTCCATTCTCCTTAGCTCTCACCAGCAAACAATGTCCTCACTCCCCAGCGATGGCCTTGTACTCAGATCCTGAGGATGAACGATCAAGAAAACAAAAAGAACAAGGATAACCCAGGAACTTAGATTTTATCAGTTTCCCTCAGAAAATGCTACACTCATTTGACACGAACTTGTGGCAAGATCCCTGTACTATCTGAATTTAAAGACACAAAGGAAAATCTGTCACTGGAGAACACCGCACGTGGTGTTTCTTTTGTGCGTAGTGTTTTCCCACTGAAATTTCTCTTTCATCTTTTAAAGAGAACATTAGTTACTTACATAGTAGGTACAATTCACTCCATAAACTCTAATTTGCAAGAAATATAACTTTTCTAATACTGAATGTAATTTCTATTATGAAGCCCATTTTACCAGGTGGTGGAAATTAATCTCGGTCAGTTCGAGGTTCCTCTCTCATCTTTTTCCGGGGATAAGTTCAGCGAGGAGGGGAAAGCTTTCAGTCATGTAAGACTTCATTCCTCCCTCAGTCATCATTACCCGTCCATGCTAGCACCTGCTAAAACATCCCCATTCCATCTGGTTGTCACTTGGTTGGTCACTGGTGGGCATAGCCCCTGCTGGGTGGTCCCTCACTCCTTACCACAAAGCCTCTTTGGGCCTGCCTGCTCTTGGGGCATGAGGACTTTCTAGCTCCTGGCCCTGTACCCCTCTGGCCTTCAAGAAGTTCTGTGGGGCTGTCTCAAGCCCATCTGCTGAGATGGACAGCAAGTGCCCTGTTCTGCTCTGGAACTTGCAGTTTTCCCAGACTCTACCCAAGAAACATGGACTCTACTATCGTTATGACCTCCGAACCTCTCTGGGGTACTTGTCGTTCCCTTCCCCTTCCTTCAGACACAGCTCTTCCTCGGGAACTCAAAAAACGTCTACGCTTTGCTTCTCCAGCCCCCACCAGCCTGTGGAATCTCTACCTAGCGGAGAAAGAGGGGTCCTTTTTCTCTATATTCTTCCAAATCCACTGCGTGTGTCTTGAGTTCTTACCAACTACCTTGGGGGTCAGGTTTTTGAAATTCCAAAGCCAAGACAGCTTCTGCTCTGTCACCCCTCCCCTGTGGCAATGGATACTGCAGGTCTAGCTATCCAGTGGGGAAAGGGAGGCTAATATTTCTAAAGGATGCTCCCAACCCATTTACCTCACAGAGCAACAGAGTGGAGACACTTGTGCTTGATGCGTCAGGCAGGAAATGAAGGCATTTTCTCATAGCGTCTTAGCTTCCATTTCCGGCTTTGCTTTAACCCATGGGTCAGGAGCTGGCTCTGCTCTGGCCCTACCTGGGAACGTCCCGGGTCTTGGGCTCAAATGGGAGGATGGAATGGGCGTGTTTGCTCACTCAAGTGACAGTGTCCTTGAGGAGCCTGGGGCAGGCTGCCTCTAGCTGTGATGGCTCTAGGGTAAGTACAGTAGGGTCATCTTTTGGGGCGGTGCCTTGGGTTGCTCTGCATGAGCAGACCATCAAAGGTCACAGCGCAGGGTTTAGGTGAAAAGGGCAGCCCAAGGAAGGTGCTCTTTCCACCTCCTTCTGCCCTTGAGAGCACATAGGTCTCTACCCTCCTGGGTCCACCGACCTAAAGAAAGTATATCTGCTGTGCTGAATTAATGTTTACTCTTCTGCAGTTTTTCTAAATCCTATTATTCTTCTTTCCTTATAGAGTCAGATCAGGGTGGGTTATACGGGAGCCTCACTGTGACTTCTGGAGACCCCAGACCCTGGAAGTGTGGCCCATCACTTGCCACTGATAGGCTTTGTGCCAACCCTCAAACCAGAGCTTATGTTTTTCACCCTACAGAGATAAAGTTGCAAGGGAAAAACCTGAACTAATTACATCACATTCATCCTATAGCTATCATATGCATTGGAATGAATCACTGTCAAAGAAAGTAATTCTGTCATTTACATTAAATGAGTCTTGTCCAGGCATTATGATGGAATATAAACTGACAGAGGCCATTTTCAACCCCCAAGATAAGCAAAAGAATTTCATGTACATTTATAGTATATACATTTTTCTGCGGGTATATTGTATTTTAATAAAAATCTTTTAAAATTAAAATATAATAATAACCTGTAGTATAAAGAGAAAACCTCTTTGGCCGTGCTATATTTTGTTTTTCTCTGTTTAGGGTAGAAGTCTTTGATACTCTTCCCAGAGCTGTGTCTATGGGCAAGATTTCATAGTTGTGTTAATAGCTCTTCAGCTCTTATATCTGGTAGAATGATGGCAAAAATTGGGGGAAGTGGGGAGGAGCCTCTGAAGGTGTGTCTACACCTCATCAAAATGTCAGGGAATATACCTTGCTCTTTAATTAATGCTCACAAGGATATCATTATTTCAGCAACTGCTTAGCTCTTGTTTTGGCTCTGCATTTCTGATCTGATTGGAGGTTGGATTTTCGGCCCTGTGGGTGCACGGCGGTACGGTGCTGCCTCAGAATACTCCTCTAGAAGTATTGCTTACATTGGCAACTATTTCTACAAACTCATCTTCATAAACTTTTTTTCAACTGAGAGATAATTCACGTATTATTTAAATTCACTTTTTCAAAGTGTGCGACTCAGTGGTACTTAATATATTCACAGTTGCGCAACTACCATCATGATCTAATTCTAGAACATATTCATCATTCAAAAGAAACTCCTTATCTGTAAACAATCACTCCCCATTCTCCCTTACCACCAACTTCCGGCAACCACTAATCTACTTTCTATCCCTACAGGTTTGCCTATTCTGGACATTTCATGTCAATGAAATCATACAAGATGTGGTCTTTTGTGTCTGGTTTCCTTCATTAACATAATGTTTTCAAGGTTCATCCATGATGCAGCATGAATCAGTACTTTATCCCTTTTTTATAGCTGAATAATATTTTATCCTATGGATATACATGATCTTCATAGAGTTTAATGAGAAATTAGCCTACACATTCATACACTGAGCTGCAGATCATGAATGCTGACTCCCTTGGATAGGTGCTACAAAACCACAGTCCCAAACCACATGACATCGACTTCCCCCTACCCAAGCACCAGCACTGAGGGGTTCACCTGGCTTGGACAGCTCACTCCTGGTGATCTGAAGGAGCAGCACACTGGGAAAGGCAGAAGTCTGCTTTGGTTGCCATTGTGACAGAGATCCTGGCACCCTCCAAGCCCAGCCCCCATCCTCTGCATTTATAAGGAGCTCTCACAGGTGAACCCCCGCACAGGTAGGATTGAGATACACACCTGTATAATCAGGAATTCCTTCCAATTCTCTCCAGGTTTCTCTTCTCAATATGGAAAGCTCGGTATCCTCCCCCTCTCCCTCCCTCCCCTTCCTCCAATCCCATTCTCTTCTCATTCAACAAACATTATATAATCACCTCCTAGGTGTTAGACACAGAGTTGAACACTGGGATCCAAATGGAAAGGAGCTTGATTTGTGCCTCCAGGGGGTTCACAGCTGGTTGGGGAGGCAGTCAGGTCTATAACAAGGTGAACACACCCAGTGCTCAGTCCTGTAAAGGGAGGGGAATAGGGGAACTCACAAGAGGAAGTGCTCATGCTCACCCAGAGAGGCCAGGGAAGGCTTTGCAGAAGCCGTGTGACATTTGAGCTGAGTCCTAAGGAAAAGTAAGTTCTCTGGGATGACACGGCAGTTGGTGAAGAGGATGTTCCAAGGAGAAGGGACATTAAGTACAAAGTATCGAGCCTGGAGAGAGCATTATGTGCTCAGGGAAATACAAAGAATTTGGGCTCAGCTGTGGAAGGAGTATCTGGGTGGGAGGGTGAGGGGGAAGAGCTGAGGGCAAGGTAGCGGAATACGCGTCTTCTAAGCCACAGTAAGGACTTTGGATTTTGCCTGGGTGCCAAGGGGAGCCGCTGAAGGATTTTAATCAGGGTAACTAATTACATGCTTTTTAAAATGGGCTCAAACTCAAACCCTTACAGACACACAAGAAACTTGACTTTAGTCTTCTATGACTCAGTAGAAATTTACAGCTGAGACTAGGACTCTAGGAAGTTGAGACTTACTGACTTCTCAGGCTTGAGATATGATACATTGGCTCTCAATGCCAACCTACCTACTTTCCTTCTAGTTGGTTTTCTGTACCAAATAGGCTTGAAAGCTACAAACTACAATCCCCAGATTCCCTTACAGCTAGAGTCAGAGGAGGAACTTAGGTTCCAGCTCTCAGATGGATGTGAGAGAGATCTGGAAAGTGGTAGTGTGACAAATGCCACGTTTCTGCTGCTCCTGCTCTTTCTGATGTCAAGGGCGGTCGGGAGGCATTAGCAGAGGTTCAAGTTCAGTGACTACTGGTTTCATGGGTATTAATAGGTAGGAGCAAGGAGAGCATCTTTTTTTTTTCTGCTAGCACAGACCTGAGAGACATGGAGTAGCTCTGGGGCTAATAGTTGTATCAAGAGCTGGCCAACTCTCGTTCTCCTGAGTGTGGCCAACATGGTGCTCTCCAGGCTAGTCAATGCCCTAGTGATGTTCTAGGAGTTATTCCTGTAGGCCCAGCTTAGAGCTCTTTCAACAATTTGTGTAGCACCTCACCTCCTATATCTAAGTCCTTTCTGTTCAAAATAGGGTGCTGCTCTCAGTGCTGGGGGGCCTCCTGCAGCTCCTGCTCAGACAGGCCCTCAGCCAATGCCAGATGAAGCTAAGGCCTCTCTGTGAGGTCTGGGAGAGCAAACGACGTTCTCAGTGTCCATGGAGGGAGGTGACTCTGCCTCCCACCAAGAGTCCTAAGTGGGGAGAAGGCATTCCCCAAACAGAAAGGATTTCGGAAGGTGGGTCATCAAAAAGAATGACAATGGTCTCCAATTATCAATAAAAGTCCCTTTATTCTATATTTTCCCCCAAGGATAGTAATGCGACAAGGATATGGCTCTTTATCTAAGTGGGAACTGCACAAAACAATAAAAGTGGCAGAATCTCAGCACTTCCGTGGCAATGCATTGAGTTTCTTCAGCCTTTGGACTCCGGCAGCCGCCTTTGCTCCCTCCTCATCAGAGACGAAGCCATGGCCAGGAATTCCTGTGCCAGGGCAGGGGCCCTAAGATGGCGGGGGCCCAGCTCAGCACTATCTCTGCAGGAAACACAGGTCCACCTTCTTATTAGGAACCAGGACAACGCGGGCCACACTCTTCACCTCCCCTGTCTCAGGGGTCAGGGCCACCTTGTACTGCTGGATCAGCTGGGAGACAAAATGCACACAGGGCTTTTAAAGTCTGTGATCTCCAGCCGCTGCCCTCCTCTGCACGCACCCACCCTATGCTTCCCCAAGGCCAGCCTCCCCAAGGCCTCCCTGACGCACACACCTGCCTCTTCCCACTCACCCTTGCCAGTAACAGCTGCATCTCCAACTCTGCAATCCTGCGGCCTAGGCAACCCCGGATCCCATAGCCGAAAGGCACAGAGCCAAATGGGTGTTGGGCCCTGAGGTTATCAGGCTGACTCTTCAGCCAGCGGTGGGGATGGAAGCTCTCTGGCTCAGAGAAGATGCTAGGGTCCCGAGACAAAGCATAGTGACAGAACACGAACTGAGTCTGCACAGGAAGAATGGGTAACACATCAGCTTAGGGCTGTGGGGCACCTTAGGAACCCTGGCCTTCTAGCCCCACTCACGTTCTTGGGGAAGAGGAAACCACCAACTTCAATTTCTTTTTCCGCGATTATCCGGGAGTTGTTGGGAACCACAGGGTAGAGACTACAGGGAAAAGAAAGTACGGGCCTGTCTCATGATCCAAGGAGGAGCAGAGTGCCCTCCGCTTCGACCCCACCTCTCTGGTCCCTGAAGCCCCTCTTCCCATCTCACCCCTGACCCTAACCTCAGCCCAACAGCTCCCACTTTCCACTCCTGTCTCTGAGTGCTCCCCACATACAGACCCTGTGCTCCAGGGAACAGCAGCCTACCGCAGCGTCTCCTTAAGCACAGCTTTGAGTAGAGGCATGTGGGCCAAGTCCTTGTGCTGGGGCACCTGCCCAGCTGGCACCACGCCCACTACTTCCTCATGCAAGGCCTCCTGGGTCTTTAGGCTCTTTGAAAGATGGTACAGGGCCCATGTCAGTGTGTTGGATGTCTAGGAGGTAGAATGAGAGATGAAGTGAGGAGGGATTTCCAGGAAAGAGCCAATTAGGTAATGGGAGGGTATGTGAGTGGGTGAAGGCAGAATGTGGGAGAGAAACTAATTTGCCGTGAGAATGGCAGAATAAGACAGAGGTTCATGGGGGCCCTCCACGCTAAATGTGACTCCACAGCAGTATGAGCATCAGAGATGGAGAATCACATTCTAACAACAGAGGAGACTGTAGCAGAGAGAAAGCCAACGTGACACAGGACTGGAAAGAGATCTTACGATGAAGGTGCTGGTGGACAACCTGTTAAACTCTCCATCTAAATTAATAGCGCAAGAGAATTGGATTAGATGTGAGATGAAACTTTCCAGCCATTCGAGAGGCTCTAGGAGGTGCTGGATGAATCCCTCTTACAAAAAGACAATTCCCTGCCCTCCTTCTAGTTCTAGATCTATGTTACAGAAAGAAAAGCAGGTACCTGGAGGGGCGAAGGTCAGGTTCAAGTGGGGGATAATGGGGAATTTGTTCAGGATGGGAGCTGGGAGCCCCTGGTCTCCTCGTCGGCCCCCCTCACGCACCGTGTCTACCCCAGCCATGAGCAGCTCAGAGAGGCTGCCCACAGCCTCATGAGGACTGAGTTGTCTTCCATTTAGTAGGAAGTGCAGGTAGCCAGATATCTGGACCCCATCTGGCCCCGCTGTCTGCAGTTGGGCCTCTATGTCCTTGAGTTTCTGGTCAATCATCTTCTTTCCTACAGGGACAATGAAGAACAGGGGAGTATAAGATCAAAAGTCATGATCTTCAAGGACCAAGAGCCACACCAGCAGGTGGTAACATGAGGGCAAAAATGTTGGGAGAAACTGCTAATGCATAGACCCTGGGACCTACCGCCTAACTTCCTTTCCTGAATTCCTCACCAAATGAGAAGATAGTGTTCCAGCCATCCAAGTATCTCTTCCAGAAGGGCAACAGGGGTCGGGTCCACTTGGGGAGGAAGGTGGCATACAGTGAGTTGCGGAACATGAGCCCGACAGAATTGATGAAGGCCTTGGTATCCTGTGGGGTGGACCGCTCCAGGCAGCCAATACGTTTCTCAAACAGGATGTAGCAAATTGCTGGCAGTGCACAAAGGCCGTCACAGGAGGCAGTGTCATGGCACAGAGAACCCAGAAAGCTTTGAGGAAGGTAAGCACAACCTACCCCCGACCCATGCCCACCCAGTCCCTCTCCCAACAAAGGTACCTTCCAAGGAAAAGTGATAGAACTGGTGAGCTATGTCGGGCACCTGGTCCCCAGAGGCACTCTCCGCCCGCAGCTGTTTCAGTCGAGCCATGAAGCTGTCAATCACCTCATTCAGAACATCTGCGTAGAGCGCAGCCTCATCTGGCTTCAGCATCCGCTGATTCAGAACCTGGCGCAGCTCGTACCAGCGCTGTCCCTGCCTGCAGGGAATGGAGGAGCAGCACAAACGTAAGTATCTGAGAGGGGTTAGCTTAGAGGGCATCTTCCCACCCTGAGACCCCTACAATCTAGGAAAATCTCAGACTCTTAGATGTTAAATGACAGAATCACCAAACTTAAATGACAGAATCTTCGAAGCACAAAACTTCAGAATCTCACTACGGCAGACTGGAAGTGGTTAAGGTGGGCATCTAGAACCAGGTTGGGTAGGGGACAAATCACAAATATGATGATTACTGGCGACTGAACTCCTCTGTTCCTCAGTTTCCTTTTCTGTAAAATGGGAATAAGAGTGCCTCTCTCATAGTAGTGCTGTTCAGATCTATTCCACTACTCGCTAGTTGTGTCAACTCAGGCAAGAGATGCAAAAACCTCTCTGGGTCTCAGTTTCTTCATCTACGAAGTGGGAATAAAACTACTATCTCTTTCATAGCCAGGTTGCGATGATAAAATGAAAGAATGAATAAAAAGAGACTTGCCCAATGTCTGGCATGCCATAAACACATAGTTACTTATTATCTTTGTTGCTGCTACTATTACCACCACCAGGATCAACTTTAATCCCTTAAGAAATGACTAAAACATGGATGTCAAGCAACTAGAGAAAATAAAATGCCATTAATTGTTTTTGGAGCTCTGTGAACATACTATAGCCAAAAAACAAAAACAAAAACAAAAATAAAAAACCTGTAATAGATCCGATTACAATCTGTGGCATTGGGAATGGTTTATCACCAGTGATTCTCAATTATTTACCTCAATTGGTATATGGGTATATAATGTATTCAGCCCATCCTTCAGCTCATCCTTCAATTTGTCAGTGCCAAAATAATAATAACTTTTCTAGGTATAACTTCAAGACAAGACTAGGACTTACATCTATCTCTGTGGGTGGAGAGCACCATGAAACTTACATCTGACAAGAAGCATACAATACATGATTTGGGGACTATTTTAAAAATTAAACTGAGCCCTCCCAACAAACATGGTGATGACATTTTGTCAACTATAAACAGATATGTCCTATTATGATTTGAGTTGGTATATTTTCAACCATAATGTAGAATAATGGAGCCGGAAAGGTCCTAGAGTTACCTTGGAGATACTGTAGTTGAAAATTCCCATTTTACATATGAGAAACGTAAGGCCAGGGAAGGGGAAATAACTCATTTGTTCAAAGTCATATAAGATACCAGTGGAAAAGACAATAAATGGTCCCTGGGCTTCAGCCCATCCCAACCACTGCTTTCTAGACTGGGTGTCAGGTTCAGAGGATGCAAGGAGATCCTACCCTGCCCATTATCTACTGGCTGCCCAGTGCCACTAACTCTCCTTGGGCCTGGCCCTCTGGGGCCCTGTCCAAGTCCCTTCAGGCCCCAGCTCACATGGTGAAGGGGCCATACGCCAGGCCCTGCTGATCCCGGTGGTCCTTCCATAGATCCATGTCGTCCCGTATTGGGTACTTGCCCTCCTGCCGCATCACTTGCTCCAGGAGTGGGGCACTGGCCAGGTGAACGTAAGTCTGAGACCCTATGCGGTTTATCCACATTGGACCATACTTGGCCTTGTTCAGCACCTGTGGGATTCAACCAAAGCTAAATAACCATGGCCCAGCCAGACAGACACTTCCTGGAGAGAAGATGGGATGGAGGAGTTCTGATGGCTACACCATAGCAAGTGGGCTGGGCAAAATCACATTGTGTAGGAGGTAGGCACTGGGATAGCCTATAGTTCCAAAAGAAGAACACTGAAAAAAATAGGCATACAGGTGTTAGAATATTGAGAGCAATGAGTATCTGGTGTAACTGGAGGAACTGGGGGAGCTGAGGTCCTTGAGAGAAAGAGATTTTCAGAAAAATGGGATATAGGATTAACTCAGAACATAGCCCCTCCACGCACTCAGAAGACAGATGGCTTCTTGGCCTACAGCGATAAGGAAGGCAGGGCACAAAGAGTTCTAGACAGTGCCTGCTCCTGAGGACGTTTTCTGCTGTTCCCGTGGACATTACCTGCTTGCTCTGCTCAAGAAGGTGGCAGGTCCGCATTCTCATGGACGCTATCTGCTTCTGTAACTAAGCAGCGCATCTTGCTCCAATCCATTGGAGAAGATAGCTGGCTGCTCCCCTGGTGAGATGACCCCTCTCTCTGCTTGTGAGCATAAATGCTCTGTTTGCACTTGGTCAGAAGGAGCCTCTTCTGCTAAAGCTTCCTTCCCTCACCCCTCTAGTCCTACCGGTGGTTTTCCCAGAATATATAAACCCAGGTGCAAGTTCCAGGCCTGGGGCTCCTGGGTTACAGTGGCAAACTGAAGTATGTTGAGGTGTAAATACTTGGGGCCTAAGCTTTTTAAAAAACTAAGCCTTTCAATGAGATATAATAGAAGCATTCAAATTTAGTGCAGCTTGTTGTTAACAAGATGAAGATAAATATCTCATACAATCAACAAGAAAAAAGAAACACGTTTATAAACTCCAGGGAAAATAAGAAGCTGAATGAGAAAGTCAGAATCCAGATAGGAACTCAGTGGTTTGAATTAAAAAAAAAAATTATTCGTTGTGTTAGGTAATGTAATTCTTAAATATTTTATGTTAGAATTTCTAAAGCATTTGAAAATTGATACCATAGCATCTGTGAAATTGCTATAATGTTTTTATACTTATTGAAAATGAGGGAGAAAATATTTTGGTTTGGTGGCCAGGGGTGGGGCTGAAACGTAAAAAGAATCCACAAATACTGAAACTAAATTTATGGGCTAATTTATACCCACAAACTGAAAAACAATGAAACATAATAGTTTCCTAGGAACTTCATCTCTCACAATGTTACTAAGAGGTTTTAAGAGGCTCAGAATCTGCTCCAGTGTAGAAACTGGGCTAAAGGACTTCTGTAAAAGAGACATCAAAATTGCAGAGATCTATCATTCAAATTATAGACGGAAACTTCGCCCAACTCATAGTCTAGAAAAACACCAGTCTTACTGGATCTTACTATTGGCATTAAAAACTGAATTCTTCTAGGACCAATGCGACACGATTGCCCTCAATATATTACACAATTGCCCAGAACCCACCCTGACCTAATGGCTCATTCTGCCAGTTCCTAGGGATGCAGCTTTGACAAGACCCCAATGTCCATTTAGGCTTGTTTCCATTTCTACCTCCCAGTAATGCCTGCCGGTGTGTTATGATTTTGAAAAGTTGGTTGTCTATAGACTACAATGATTCCTGGAGAGAAACAGGCATATTCATACATTACTGGTAGAAGTCTAAAACAACACAAACCTATATGGAGGACAATTTGCTAACATCTATAAAAATTACAAACAAATTTATAAACAAAGTATGGGGCATCTATATAATGAAATATTGTATCACCTTAAAAGAGAATAAATCAGCTCTTTGTGTACTAATATGAAATGATAGATTGTAATATGGAAAAAATGGATAGGTAGCCAAGATACATTGTTAAATGGGGAAGCATGACATCTTTTGTCTAAGAAAGAGGGGCTAAATAAGAATACACAGGATTTCCATTTACTTGTATGGAAAAAGGTGGATTGATACATCAGAAACTAATTAAAGTGATTACCTAGGGGAGGGAAGAGGGGACAGCAGTGGGAGGAAGACCGTGCAATGTATATCTTGTTTTATTGTTTTGAGTTTTGAACCATGAGAATGCATTCAAATTTTTTCAGTCTAAAGGGGAAAAAAAAGAAAGCGTTTGGGAAACAATAAGTCACCTGCCGTTGATCAGGTAACTCTAGAAAACAGGAAAGCCTTGCTGAACCTCTGAATTCATGTATATACTCCTTAGATTTAGAAGTGGGCCCTAGATATTCATTTCGTTTATTTTTCTTAACGTTTCCATTTAAAAAGAACTTAATATATCATCTATTTTTTTACGCTAAATTCCTTAGAAGAATTATTCTAAAAGTAAGTTTAATTTGTGTATTCTATTTGGTTTAAGATATTAATAACAAATACTATTAATAATAATTGCAAATATTTTCATGGAGCTTAGTATATACCAGACACTGTTCCAAGCATTTTAATTACGTTAGCTCATTCAGTCCTCACTACAGCAATATGAGGAAGGTTAACATTAGTACAATTTTGTAGATGAGGACAGAGACCCAAAGAGATTACTCAAGGTCACTTTACTGGTAAGTGGCAAGAGTCAGAGGTCAAACTTAGTCCACCTGATTGGAGGCTGTGCTTTCAACCACTTACCCTGCTGACCCCTGAGAAAACTGTCTTACTAACTAGAATCAAACTTATGCCCTTTAAAACTGCGCTATTTAAAACCCCACAACTCACAACTATGCAACAACCATGGTTGCAACAACCATGGTTTCTCACAGCACAGTTGGCATTTTTTTAAATTTTATTTTATTTAATTAATTAATTCCCTTATTTTTTATGTCTACAGCACCTGGTCTTCCTAGGTGGTCTCCCATCCAAGTACTAACCAGGCCCGACCCTGCTTAGCTACCAAGATCAGATGGGATCGGGCTTGTTCAGGGTAGCATGGCCGTAGATGCACTGTTGACATTTGAGGCTGGATAATTCTTTGCTGTGGGGACTGTCCTGAGCATAGTAGGATATTTAGCAGCATCCCTGGTCTTTACCCACTAGCACCCCTCTCCCTCAAATTGTGACAACCAAAAATGTCTCCAGACATTTCCATGGGGGTAAAGACATCCCAGTTGAGAAACTCTGCAATACCCAAAACCTCTTAATATGTCTCTTCACTATTTAATTTTAGGGAATTCTTTTCAAGAAATATCTCATTTTGAAAAAATATTTATCTGAAGTTTGGTTTCTTTTCCTTTTGCTAAGGTCAAGTAAAATTACATGTCACGATTTTTATAAAAATGCAAACAGTGGTTATCCCTGAGTCACAGTTTATAGATAATTTACTTTCTTCTTTATACTGTGATCTGTTTTTCAAAACTTCTATCGTATCTTGGAATCAGAAAAAAAATGTTATGTTTCAAAACACTGGATCAATAACCATTTTCTCGGGAACCAGCTTCTTCCCTGGAATCCAAAGACTATGGCGCCACTTCCTGGCTTTCAGTTTGGAGGTTTCTGGGATTTTTCCCCCTTCGCCTAGGTCTTGTTTTCTTAGCTCTTCTTTTGTATTCCTCCTCTCAGTTAGTTTACTCAGTGGAACTTACCAAGGATCTATTTACATAAGAACTTATTTTAGAAAGACAACAGAATACTTCGTGAGAGATGTGTGCTCTGTCTGGCTGTAACCTGAGCCAGTTAGAAAGCGCCAAGGTTCTCAGAAAGGTTCTAAGTACCACTTCTCAGAACAGAGTTCCCCGGGGATCCTTTCCAGGATGAATGGGAGGGCTGGCCTCCTCCAGGTGAGACTCCAAAGGGGGAGAGTGTTGAATTCATTCATTAAAAACTGTTATAAAAGTGTTAATTGATATAGAAAGATAGCCATATGTATTTTTTAGTAAGTGGTAGATTACAAAAGAGAATATATGGTATGCTTTCATTTTTAAAAACACATATATTTGTAGGTGACACATGGGTAAAGTGTGGATGCCTATTCACCAAGGACAAACAAGCAGGGACAATGCTTACTTACCCCCAAGGTTACGTGTGTATTTACGGATTCATTTCACAAACGCTTATTAAGCGCCTATGCATACAAGGCATTTTGACGTGTGCAAGATTATAGAAGACTTGGAGTTTCTTCATTTTGTGTCTTTATATTTTCTGATTAAACAATGGTAATTTTCATAGGAAAAAAAGTGGCTGTCTCATTGTCAAGTGTTTTTATCTCAGCTCAGTTATGCACAGCTGGCAGTATCAGTTAAGGGGTCAGGGACTACTTGGCAGTAGATTTTGTTCTAGCTCCGGCCCCAACACTAACAGCTTTGTCACTTTGTTGGGTAATAGCTCCACCATGGTACCCTCCTGACCTGGCATGTATCCAAATACAGGGAGCCTTGAAACCAGCCTTCTCTGAGTCTTTAGGCTGATTGCCCTGTGACCCTCCCAGATGCTAGAAGCCTGGATGCCTGCAAGGAGCTGCCTTGAGGCCACCTTGTACTCACTTCTCAAGTTCCTTAGGAGATTATCATGAGACAATTTCTCATGCTCTGTGGGTTCTGATGAGGTGTGGGTTTTCTGCCCCACCCCATCAGAAAAGAGTTGAAGAATATAAAACCAAGTCACTGCAGTCTGAAAGGGGCTCCTCAACTACAGGGTACCCCACAACTTAAATTGCAGTGATCAGACCCCTTTTATTTCAGGGTTGTTCTTTTACATGTGTGGGACAAGGATCTCAGGGAACTGACACCGTTGGCTGATTCTTCTTTTCACACTCTATGTAAATAATAAACTATCTAAATCTAAACATGGCCTGTTGTATCTTTCCTAGAAGAATCTGTTAGGCCTTGGCCTTGTCTTGTTTAATGTGTGAACTTGATGCATTTGGTACTCATCACGGGGCTGGCAAAGTTACAATGCTCTTTTAGAGACCTGGGGCCATGGGCAGGTAGGCGACAAATAGATTCCTGTGATCTAGTAGCACATGGTGTGGCTAAG